TAAGATGGGTATATGTGCAATATCTGTATAGGAGTGTAGCAGGGAGGAGGGAGGTAGAGGACTGGTAAGCAATCTGTACAAAGCGAACTTACAATGTCCTCTGAAGCTGATATATTTAAGTTTTCCTGTTTCCCCAGACTCTGTCACAGATAATTCTGCCTCAATGTTTGTAGTAAAATTAATGACAATTGTTTCTGTTGCTCTGGTTAGATAGTTAATTTCAAAACAGAATTTTCCTGGGAGACAAATGAAGTATTCTTTTGTTTTCCTTCTTGACATATATAAACAACCTAGTGTGCAAGTGGTATACATGAAAACAATTTTCATTTTCTCTTGTGTCTTTCTCTCAGGAGACTAGAATTCTTTCAATTATAAAAGGTATAAGTTGGAACATAGAATTTCAGAAAATAGTGGTGACCTTCGACGTTATCTTTATTAGCCTTCACTTTATAGATAAAGCAAAAGAAGTTCTGAAAGGAAAAGTATAGAAGATGAAAGGTGGCTACAAATACTTTGTTACTCCTTCCATTGAGAGGTGAATCTCCCTCCTCCCATCCTTGTATATAGGCAAGCTCTGCAATTGCTTTGACCAATTGAAATACACTCGCAGTGGTGCTCTGCCAATTTCTGGGTTCAGCCTTTCAGGAATGTGAGATTCTACTTCTTTGTCTCTTTGCTTGTTTCTGGAAATGTGCTGTGAGAAGCTGAAGCCATGTGGAGAGGCCCATGAGTAGGTGTTTCAGTCTATAATCATATCTAAACTCACAGTTACCAGCTAACATGCACTTTTACTCATGTAAATGTGCCAACAGTTTTTCTAGGGTTCCATTCCCAGCCAATTTCTGACAGCAATAACATGAGCAACTCCAAGCAAAAATTCCCTGGTCAATAAACACACTAGTAAGAGATAATGATAAATGGCTACTTTAAGCCACCAAGTTTGGAGGTGGCTTATTATAATAAAAGTGAACTGTGGCCTCCCCTGGTGCTGCAGGAGGTTGAGCAGCGCACTGTGAAGCTGTCCACAGTCTCTTTCATCTTCTATACTTTTCCTTTCAGAACTTCTTTTGCTTTATCTATAAAGTGAAGGCTAATAAAGATAATGTCAAAGGGCAGTTTGAACGCCAGTTTGATCCCAGCTGGCCAGTGAGGGTCCCACATGGCGTAGCAGACCTCTCCTGTCTCGCCCGCTGCTCCCCAGAGCAGTATATTTCGTCTGTCTGCCTGTTCTGTTCCCTGCTCTGTCTCTGGTGAGTCCTCTCAACCTCCCACACATCTGGCCTGTACCCCAGTTCTTGTATAAATGGATAAATCTTTCAAAAAAATAAATAAAAGTGAACTGGAATCATAAAAGACCTGGACTAGAAAATCAATCATGACAAAAAGAAAGAGAATAGCAACACTGCACTTCAAGAACCTTAATTATATTATTAAGCTATAATAATTAAAACAGCCTGGTACTGGAACACTGGAATAGAATTGAGAGCCCAATTTAGGGAGAGTTAATCTATGGCATATTTAGGGAGAGTTAATCTATGACAAAGGAGCCAAGAACATACACTGGAATAAGGATAGTCTCTTCAATAAGTGGTGCTGGGAAAAATACATGCAAAAGAATGAAGTTAGACCACTGTCTCATACCATACACAAAAATCAGTTCAAAATGAATAAAAAAACAGAAAGTTGGATGTAAAATCTGAAACTATGAGATACATAGGCAAAAAAAAAAAATCATGACATAAACTTTACTGATGCCTTTAGGGATTCATACCCCACAACAACAACAACAACAACAACAACAACAAAAAGAGAACATAAACAACTAAGACTACACAATAAAACAAAAAGACAACCAAATGAATGGGAGAAAATATTTTATATCTCACATCTGACAAAGGACAGATATTAAAAACTCATAAAACTCTACAAAATACAAAAACTCATAGAACTACAAAAAAAAAAAAACTCTACAAAAACAAAACAAATACAATCAAAAAATGGGCAAAAGAACTAAACAGACACTTCTCCAAAGAAGACATTCTGACTACAAAAAGTCACATGAGAAAATGCCCACTGTCACAATTTTTAGGGAAATGCAAATCAAGATGAAAATAAGGTACCATATTGTACCTGTGAGATTGCCTGTATCAAAAAGACCAGAAACAACAAGTGCTGGTGAGTATGTAGAGAAAAGGGAATGCTCCTACACTGCTGTTGGGCATGCAAACTGGCTCAACCTTATGGAAAGCCCTATGGAAGAATCTCAAAACATTAAAAATGGATTTGCCATTTGACATAGTAATTCTGCTTCTAGGCATCTACCTCAAGAAATTCAAAAACATTAATTCTAAAGTGTATTTGCACTGTCATGTTTGTTGCAGCACTATTTACTACAACTACATTATGGAAACAATCTAAATGTAGCAAAGGATCAAGATGTATATATATATATGTACATAATGGGATATTAGTGATCAACAAAGATAAACTCAAACCATTTGTGGTAACATGGATGGAGCTGGAAGGAATAATGCTAAGTGAAATAAGTCAGAAGGAGAAAGACAACTACAGATGGTGTAATATAAAGTAGCAAAACTACAAGTCAGATAAAGACAAGCTTAAAAATTAACCCTTGATAGCTGACTATAGAACTAAAGTAGCAAGTAAGAGAGGGGTTGAAGAAGAGGTAAAAATGAAGTGGGAAAGAAGCACAATGGACTATGGTGGTGAACTATGTATGATTTGGTGGTGGATACACAAAGGTAGTAATACCAGATGGGGGAATCCAAATATTACCTCAATTAAAAATTAATAAATTTTAAAAAGCAATTGGCACTGAAAATGACTTAGACCAAAATTTGTTAGTAAATGCCAGAGTAAGAACTAGAAGATTCCAAAGTTAGCATAATCTTATTATAATGTCTTAAAGGAACATACAGTGTTAAAAAATTCATCATCAATCACGCAATAACTCAAAATTCAAAAAGCTTTTGTTCATTCAATATTCACACAAAATAGAGAATTTTCAAAATATTTAAATATTTAAAATAGATTCCTACCGCTCAACATACAAAATAACAAACCATCATTTGATATAAAAATAAGGTAGCATTCTTGAGTGTTCTTTTAAGTCAGTACTTTAATAATAATAAGTGCCATTAAAGAAAAACTTCTAGGATAAACTGATAAGGGGAAATTCTGGCTTACATTAATTTAAAGAGGTCTCTTTATCTCTGAATTTGGGGGAATGTAAAATCTCCAAGAGGAAAAATAAATAGAACTTTCCCCAAAATTTATGGATGAAGGAGTTCTTTAAAGAACACCTCATAAGATTTATCTTTCATTAAAAAAAAAAAAACAACTAAGTAAACTGTAAATAGGGGAAAATATAAACTTAAAGAACAGAAACTGACTTTTACTATATATATATATATATATATATATATATATATATATATATATATATCTCGGTGTGTCTTCAACTAAGATAAGATATTTTTAGATGAAACTTTTCACAATTAGCAGGGACTATGTTTAAATCAGTCCCTTTTATGATCTCTTTCTACTCTGCTTTCTTATTTTTCACATTTTCCTGTGAGAATAGTTAATAGTTTAGTAGATAATGAATGAGTACTTATTGGAATAAAGAAAATTAGATAAATAATAAAAACATTGAATGAGTTAGTTCAATTATAAACTGGATGATCAACTCAACTCTAAATAGCTTGGTTTGGATTTTGTAACTTTATTTTCATATAAGATGGGAATTGTAAAAGCTGACCCACATCAAGTTTCTTGAGAATTTCTAAAGAGATTTCAGTGTTGCAGATAAAGCAACGTTAGGGCTAAAATAATCTTAATATCCATTTATGTATTCACTCCTTTTACTTTATATAGCTGTGGAAATTGGGATCCAGAAAAAGAGTTTATAGTGTGAATGCTAGCTCCATTAGAAACTTCCTTTCTGGTGAATCTACTATAACGACATTGGAAATTCCTCTGTTTTAGTAGATTTCATATTGAACACTGTGATTGTAATTCAGGTGGTCATTATCTCTAACCACAAATTTTACAAGCAATTTGAGCCCCAAAACACATACATAACAAAATTCATGGCTGTTACAGAAAGTTGTGACAGTCAAGTCATTTAATAACCAGTATGGTATGGGCACTGATAATGAGAACAGATTCTAGCCAAAAACAATTTGTAAAGTAAAACTAATAGTTACCAGCAGATTATTATCTCCATCACACAAATCTGATCAATCACTGGTTCCTGGTTTTGTGAATACTGTCATTTTTCTGGTGTTAGAAATTCTTTCATTCAGCACTCTAATTTACTGTGGCTGTGTTACTGATGCTCATCATACAAAAACTTACATGACTTGCCTCAGCACTTCAAGGCTCCTTCAGCAATATACACCTCTGCTCCCCAAATTACTGAGAATCCCCATGTCTCCAGTTTGTGAGCAGAGAAAATTACAGGTTTATAGCTCTTCTTGCCCTTAATGGAGCATGTGCCAATCCACTCTCTCTACTCAATTATTCTGGATTCTCTCTATTTCATTATATCCCACATTCTTATTCCATGGTCATACTGCTTAACTGAATATGATTTCAAAGACTAAAGGAGTACATCCATGCTAGAGAAATAATAAAATGGAGTGAGATAGACTATTTGATACCTTTGAGATAAAACAAGAAGAAAGTATGTGCATGTATAAAAGAAAGAATTTGCATTTAACTTTTTTTTTCTGTAGCTCTAAAAAACACGCATTTAAAAAAAAAGATGTTGGTCATTGTTTTTGAGTTTTCAATAAACTGTGTGATTTCCAAGCCAATGGGGATGGTTTAAGCTATTTGACTTATATAATTTCATATTACCTGCTTCATTTGTATAAGCTGACAAAAGCTTTTATTTGACTGCAATGCAACCATAAATGGAGAATGACAGCATCATTCTTCTGGATTTAAATAAGATTCATTTCCAGCATACTTACCTCAACAAGTCTGCTGGTGTGTTCACGAAATATTGCAGCATATTCTTTTATTTCCTTTTCCCGGCCATTCTTGGCAGCTTCAATGAGAACCAAAAGTGGGACTGTTGTATCCAGAAAGGAGTCTGACACATGATCTATAATAGCCTTACGGAGCTGAAAAAAAATAAAAATATAAATTTTTTTTTTCATTTCTTTTTCCAGTCAATTCAATAAATCATGCATGTTATTTCCTCTTTTACAATCTCAATAATTGCAAAAATTATTTTTATAAATATTTTTGCATAATATCTAAAATCATAATATCTAAAATTTTGTGTGATATCACTAAGAAAGCTAAAAAACACAAAATATCTGAGAAAAAAATCATTGAGCTATACTTCTTTTACTCTCAAAAATCACTTTTTCTTAAGATTGAATTAAACCTAAAAATCCAATTATAAATACTAATCCATTTTCCCCTTAAAGAAACTGCACTATTGTAATGTTTATGCATGTATACAAACAGTATTGTACATCATGTATCTTCATAACTACAAAATTATGAAATGTTTTCTTCCTCATTGGGGGAACTGATAATAAATTTTGATTAGCTAAAGTGTAGACTTCATGATAATTAAACCAAGTTAGATCACTGATTATGCCTGTTGATAACAGATTAATAGAGCAAGGAGAATAATAAATGAGCTTGATGTCCAATTTTCTCCATTTGCATTAATTGTTCTTGCCCTCACACCTTAAATTATTAAACAAGTATAACATTTTGCTACAATTATTTTTAATTAGATTATGTGTAAGTTTATAAATGACAGTCAGGCAATTACTCTATCCAGCAGATAATTTCTGAAATTTAAAAAGGCATTTGAAAATTAACACATTATTTTTATATAATATTGAGCCCTTAAACATCACAATATCTTGTAATGTTTCATTAAAAAAGTCAATGACTGTAAATATTCCCAAAGATTCTGGTCAACTCCTTCATTGAATTTTAAAAAACTCTATAAAAACAATAGAGATGAATAGCTATGAGTTATGATTCAATTTGTGTAAAAATTACATTTTACAGTGATTTTTAAACCAATGCACACTGAAGTTAGTAGTACATTTTCGAGGGGTTAAATGATATAACTATATGAGAAAATTAGAGTAACTATAGTCTTCCGGGAGACCAATAACTCTGCCTCAGGTAGTAGAACACATGCAGGAGAACTGTGAAATTTTTGGCTACCAACAATTTCACAAACATTGTAAAAAGAGCCCCAAAGAAAGATATTGATTACCATCCAGAAATTCAAATCACTCATGGCAACTAATTAATATTTACTGAGCACATAAAAGGATAGGGTATATAGTACTAAGGTGAGACAAGGCCAGGGGAAGACCTTAAGTGAAGGAATATGTGTTTGGTGCCAATGAAGAGTGAACCAGGGAAACCAGGCAAGTAATCATAAATTAGGATTTGAGTTGGAAACTGCAAGTTGTATTATTTTTAGATTCACAAAAGAAAACTAAAGGAATCACTCAGAAGGGAATGGTTTTTAATGAAAACTCCCTTTTAATCCTTTTCTTTTTTTCATTTGTAACCAAGACATGTGGAAAGAAGAACTATGCACTAGAGATAAGCAATTGAAATCCCATATGCACATGGAAGGTGATCCAAGACAAGGACTATGTAGGATGATATAGAAGGAAATGTACAGTGAAGAAACATCTAAGAATGCAATGTAAGGAAACACTACTATTTATGGGAATTATGCAGGTGAAAGACCAAAACTTGAAAAAAGATTGAGATGAAGGCAAAGAATCAAAAAGAAACAATGACCACTAACTAAAAGACAAACTCAAATCTCTGTCAGTGCTCTCTAAATGAACCTATCCTACCAAAACATATCCACACCACTGAATCTTCTTTTCTGTATATTTGATTTCATCCAACTTAGCAAATATTTCTGAATAACATTTTCTTACTTTTCCTCTAAAAGCAAGGTATTGTGAGAAGTGTCAAGATGAAAATGCATGGCACCTTATAATTAAATGGAGGAGTGGCTGTCATTAAATATTACAAAAAAGGAAAACCAGAAGACTGACAACTATGGAATTTCAAGAAGATAATAGGTTTCATAGTCTAATTTTAAATATAAGTTAAATTAAAAGAACCAAGACTTCTCTATTGGATTTTACTACCAAGAGATAATCGATGAACTTAGTGAAAGCAGCTTCACTGGAAAGATGAGAGCAGGCATTCTATTGATATGGTTTGAAGACTAAACAGGAAATAAGGAGGTGGCAACAATGATAATAAATACCTCTTTCTAGTAATTTGTGAAAATTAATATATAAACCCTACTTAAATGGGGACAGGAAGTTAAAAGTTTCTGTACACGTGCAATCAACAAATTGCAGGACCCAACATGCCTGTCATGTCCAACAGGAAGTGATGCTACTTCCCTGCCCTAGTGAAATGAAGAAGGATGAAGGAGATCGTCTTTGAATAGTTGCAGCCCTCACTAATGTACATAAGATATAGCTGCTTTCATTTCCGATTTTTGGTAAGTCCTTTTGTATGTTTTCCCCAAGAGACTTCACTTCTTGCCTTTTGGTTGATGTTTTTGAGCAAACCCATTGTGTATGTGAAATAACCAACTGCTTTTTGTTTGAGGTCAATATATTGTCTTGAGTACACTGAGATACAGGTCTAAACTGGGATTACTTCTCTTATAAAATATTTGGATGTATGTTTCCATCCTACAACTATGCTCAGAAATTCAGACTGTCCCTTTGGGCTTTTCAAAAAAACACATTTTAATATTTCATCATACAAAAATCTAGAAAGATAGGGCAGCCTTGATGGCGCAGGGTTTAAAGTCAGCGCTATCAAGCAATCCGCCAGTAACTATGGCATGAATTCGATCCCTGGACAGGGAGCTATCCTACATGGCACAGCAGACCTCCTCTGTCTCACCTGCTGCTCCCTTCAGCAGTGTATTTCAGAAGAGACACCTGTTCTGTTCCCCATTCTGTCTGTGGTGAATCCTCTCACCTCCAGCACCTCTGGCCTAGACCTCAGTTCTTGTATGCATAGATAAATAAAATAAATCTTTCTAAAAACCAACAAAAACCTAGAAAGATAGACAATCACTATTGTCTCACATTCATCATTTTTTTTTTGTAAATACTTGAATAATTATGACAATCTTCCTCAAGCAATTGCAATGGTCTGCATCTCTCATCTTTGTGGTGTTACCTTTTGTCTTCCCTTCATTTTAAAAGACTTTACTACCCTGAACTTTTTTATTTCTTAAAAATTTTCAACTATACTTTCCTGCTATTCAGTCAATCCTTCATCCCACATACAAGCATTGCGACATATTAGAAAAATGTGGTTTAATGTACTGCTGATTTACTATTAATTAAAGAATAAATTAGTAAACTCTGACTAAATTTTTTTAAATTATTTTTAATACAACCAAATTAGAACACTTATTTTTTTTTCTTTCTAAGGTATGTTGCCAATTATAAAACAGTAAATGAGAAAAGGTGTTCCATGGAGGTGTGATATTATATTCTGTATTACAAAACAGAAGAAATAAACAATGAGCTTTCAAATAAACTCTGTGTCTATGTTTTCAAAATTTTGTTGGAAAATGGCTAAATTACCTGGCATAATATAATGTAAAATATAATGAGCAAGAAGAATCTTCTTTGCAATATTTACATATGCATTGAGTTTAACAAATGCCTTTTGAGATTTCCTTCTAAAAGTAAGGCACCATTCTAGGCGATCTGGGCAACACCAGGATACCAGAACATGGTTAGGTCTTAGGGAGTGTGAGATGCACAAGGAATTTGATGAGATCTCAAAAGAAGCACAAACAAATAAAAAACAAATCATGCCTAAGAAGTTTTCTGGTAAGGATAACACATATTATTTCACTTTAAAAACTGAAAAGGGCATTAAGTGTTGAAGCTGTGAAGTAGGAAGCACTCATTTCTAGGAATAGAGAATATCACAAGCAAAGAAAATAGAGAGATTCTGAGAATATCACCAGTATTTATAATGACTGAAACACAGTAGTAGAATGATGATTGAAATAAGATCTCATTAGGTACAGTGATTTCTGTTTAAAAAAAATATAAAAGGAAATACAACAATATGGCTAAAAGATGACAGGTGGAAATGGCCAGAGACTGGTGACTTGTGTTAGATATCTTTAAGAAAGAGCAAAAACCAGGGGCCTCCCCAGTGGCGCAGCAGTTGAGTGCTGGGTTGCGAAGCTGCCTGCAGCCTCTGCAGGGTTGGTTCAATCCCTGGCCATCAGGTGAGGGTCCACATGGCGCGCAGACCTCTCCTGCCACCCGCTGCTCCCCTCAGCAGTGTATTTCTTCTTCAGTCTGCCTGTTCTGCTCTCCGCTCTGACTCTGGTGAATTCTCTCACCCTCCCGCGCTTCTGACTGTACCCCAGTGCTTGTATAAATAAATAAATAAATCTTTTTAAAAAAAAGAGCAAAAATCAGCACAGAGATATCTTTCCCTTTGAATGTTTATCCACCTCCTTTTTTTTTTTTTTTAACTTGACATAACTCTGGTTTACAATATTGTACGTGATTCAGTTCTTACATAGAGGTAGTTTCCTACACCACACCCACCAAGGCATCCATACTCCTTCAACATAGTCCTTTGGGTCCCCTCCACAATCTTTTCTCCACCCTCCCCCTACCTCTAAGTAGCATCAATTCTACAGTCAGATTTCTAGAGTTATTAGTTTGGTTCTGTCTGATGCTTTGTTTTGTTTCTCTATATTCCCCATATAAGTGAAACCATCCATAATTTGTCTTCCTCCTTCTGACTTATTTTGCAAAAGCATCTTAACCTATGCAAATAACATTGCAATTAATGCAACCAACCCACAATTTTCTATCCAGATTGTTTTGCTAATTCCTGATCATTCAGCATCCCTTCAGAGTTATAATTATGAACTATATTACAGGTTTCAGGTGTTTTTTCATTTCATCCATTGAACCAGTCTCTGATTTCAATTGTTGCTGTGGGGAAAAGTTTTGTGGCCTCAGAAAACATCCCATCTCCCATGCATTCTCTGCTTCAATTTGTTATTCTTTTTCAGGGCCTCCTCCAAGGATCTAGGAGATTTTTT